GGCTGTGTTGGCGGGGCGCGCCCGGCGCGCGTGGTGCTCGCAGCATCCCTTCTGTTGGGGTGCAGAAGGGCCCTAGTGATTCCCCAGGCCTCCTGAGGTGTCCCTTCCCGTTAAGGCACAGCTCTTTTAAATGCGTTTTAAGGAAAGTGCACGTCGTGACAGATTGGCAACTTGCAGAGCACTGCTTTCAGTAATGTAATCTTTTTAGACTGTTAGTGTAATTTGACATGGCTTATGGGTAAAAATGGAAAGCTTTGTCCTGAGTAAAATATGTCACCGGACTGGTTCCTAACTTTGGTATTCAATGTTTCTGAAAACTAGATAAGATTTGAAAATGAACGTACTCAGAATGTTAGCATGTCAATAGTTTTCTCATTAATTCTCAAGAGCATTACAAGTTTAATAAGGTATTTGGTGGCTCAGGAAAAAAATATTATTAAATTATTATTAAATGACATAATATTATCTTTTGAATCCACGGTCTGACCAGTAGGTCTTCTCTGGAGCTTTGCCAGACACAAATATGAATTGTTTAATGTGTATGTGTAGAGGGTTTTATGCTGATATGCTAGTGGAGTTTAAATAATATGAGGCAAATAGTTTAATCCAATCAAAATTACTGTGAATTGCCAAAGGAGTTTCATTCAGGAAAATAAAACCCAAAACAAACGTGTATTCAAGCAGAAGCTTGCAGCCTTCTGAAGACAACTGATGCTCATCAGGTCAGGAAGCTGAGCCTGTGTTGACTTGTCACATGACACTGGCATGCCAAACTAAGTAGAGTCTTGCAGTTGTCAATGCTGTCATCGTGACTTTTGGGACATCTTAGTATATCTAGTGAAATCTCTAGTCCCTGTGAGGCACGGGGATGATAACATGCTTGTTCAAGGGGGTGATAGGAACTGGTAACATGGGGACACGATGAAACTAACTAAAGGAGGATGCCAGGGAAGAAGAGGCACCAGTCCCTGCCAGACTAGGCAAACAGTAAACACTTTGCAGGAGTTAGACCTACTTAGTTCCATTCATTCAAAAACAGAGAATGAAATTCCTTTCCTGACTTTGCTTCTCTTCCCTTTTTTGTTCCTCTCTCACTTCATTTGCACACACTGTCATTCGTTTTGTTATACCCAACAGCTCCTTGTAAGTAAAGGAGTTAATTTCATATTGTTACGACATCTGATTTGGGGCAGGATCTCAGGTATTGGTCACCCACATTGCAGGGGAGCATCCTAACTGTCTGGATTCATGCTTTTTCATCCAGTGAATATTTATGCAAAATAAGCTATGATATCTACACGTTTTCTCTGAGTTATCCATAGTCTTGTTGGTTAATACACTTAATGAATACAGGCGATCTATATGTATTAATAAGTTCTTGATGTGACAAAATCACCAGACATCTCCCAGTGTAGGTCTATAAATGTGGGGTTATTGGGTAGAAGCTGAGAGAGAAAAAATCAGTTTTTGAAATGGAGGATGCCAGTGCTGGAGAAATAGGGTTCCTGGACAGTGATTACAACTGATTTTCATTCCACAGGGGTTATTACATCCGCGCCCGTGCTGTAGATCACTGTGTTCAAGACTTTCTGCTGAAGACCCAAAGCCACCCTAGGACACAGGTGCATTTTCTTTGTTGGGGTGTACTGGCAGTTTCCACTGGATGTGTGAAAAGTCTTTTTGGTATCTTGGCGCTGCAGTAGCTTGTTAGTGCATCTGTTGTGATCCTTTCCAGAAGAGCATAGAGAATCCAGTTGGCACTACTGTGGCTGTCCATTTGTTACTTCAACAGAGATATCTGGGAGGGGGCAATACCTACACCTCTTGCAGGAGATTGCCTGATTTTGTCACTCTACAGATGATGATACTGAATATTTTTCACACTAGATGCTCAGGATGCTGCTAGAGTTGAGTCTAACTTTTCCTGATACTTTCTCTGCAGATCCTGTCTTTAGGTGCTGGCCTTGACTCCTTATACTTCCGTTTGAAGGACATGGGTCTTCTGCATCACACTGTGGTATATGAGGTGGATTTCCCAAATGTGGCATGCCAAAAAGCTACTCTGATCAAAAGAATGAAAGAGTTGTCAGCACTGGTGGGAGATACTGGAGGAGAAGGATTAGGTATGATATTTATCTAAGGTTTTCTAGGTACTAAATGTTTAGAAGGAGGAAACATAGCTTCAGCCTTTAAAAAGTGAGATGCGATGGTAGAGGAACTGTGAAGTTGTAGGTGAAAAGCATGTTCATTTTCTGAAAAATTCCGGAACAAATAAATCACTTGTAAACATTGAGAGATAACAAGAAGATGTATAGCTGCCAGAATGGACTTGTCAGGAGCAGATTATATCAAACCAATTTCAGTTTCTTTCTGTTATAATTTCTGAAGTACTGTGTCCAGCTTTGGGCTCACTAGTACAAAGACAGAGGCAAAGTGCAGCATGTCCAGTGAGAGGTCATGAGAATGATAAAGCGAGGGAGCACATGACATAGGAGGGGAGGCTGAGAGAACTGGGTTTGTTCAGCCTTAAGAAGAGGAGGTTGGGAGGGAGGTAAGTCTTACTGCAGTCTTCAACTACCTAATGGGAGAGGGTAGAAAAGATGGAGCCAGACTTTTCTTGGAGGCATGAAGAAAACAGTCAAGGGACAATGGTGGCAAGTTGCAACAAAGGAAATTCCAGTTACATACAATGAAGATTTTTTTTCTTTTTTCTGCCATGTGAGTAGTTAAAAATGGGAACAGATTGCCCAGAAAGGTGATGGAATCTCCAGCCTTGGAGACAGAGCTTGACTGGACAAAGCTTTGAGCAACCTGCTATGGGTAACTCTGCTGTGACCAAGGAGCTGGACTAGATGACCTTCAAAGGCCACTTTCAACATAAATTATGCTGTGATTTATGGGCTTTATGGGTAGGAGAGAAGGTATGACTCTTAGGTGTCTTGACTGTAGTAAAATATCAGTCATTATGTTACCTGACTTTTTTTCCTCTCCAAGGCATGAAAAAATGACCCTTATGAAACTACTGTAGAATATAAGCAGAACTGGAAGGATTATTATGCCAGATAAGTACTAAGGGGCAGTTCAGTGGCAAAATGGAGGAATGTAAAGTATGGGATTCACTAGAGGTTTCTCCTGTATCTGATTTCCTTCAAGGTTTCCATTAATGTTCTAGATGATATGCTATAGAAGGTGAAAATAAAATAAACCAGCAAGAAACTGGGAGAGTTGCAATATGGTGGATGAGAGTAGGATTTTGACAAAGTACGTGAATGGTCTAGAAAATGTGGAATGAAATACAATAAGGACATATGTAAGCCGCTAGGTTTAGACTGTAATAATCAACTTAAATACAGATGGATGGAAGACAGCTACAGAGCTAGGTGCAGAGCACAAGTCCCTGGCTCCTGTGAGCAGTCGAACAAGTCTTGGTGAGTAGCTCTTCCATAAGCTTGTCCGGTTTCCTCCTGAATCCATTCACATTTTTAGTATCGGCAGCATCCTGTGGCAAATAATTCTGTCCGTACCACTAATCTTCAAGTACTTCAAGTAAAAGGTGGGTGACAAAAGAGTTGGGAATACCTTATTCTCTGTGTCCAGAGGGACGGAACTGATGGATAGACAAGTTAGTTGTTAGAAGAAATTAACAGGGAACAGTGGGACGGGCTTCTGAAGAAGGCCATTTTGCCTCCAGTAATGGATGCCTTTCAGAACAGTGTAGATTAACAGTTCTCAGGACAGGTATAGTTGTTGGATTGCTCTGGTACAGAGAAATAGAGCAAGTGATTTCTAAAGGTACTTTACAGTTTGCTTTGTTTATGATTTGGTTTTGGTTGAAACAGGTCAACCAGCTATAGCTTATGATATTCTTACGGAGTACACAGGTATGCCATGATAATGCTTGCAAGTCATAACTGGAACTTATTTTTGAGAATAGTGATCTGAGACTAGTCTTGGTGTTTGCAGAGAGCTAGCATGTGCTGGCTCAGGATTCAATGCCATTTTACAGAAATGAAATCTATTTAAAAAACAAACAAACAAACCCCCACAAACTTGAGAATGGTTTTATGGTTGTGAGGCAAACCATTCAAATTCTATCAAAGCAATGGTGTTGAATTTCACCAGAGTTTGAGTTACTCTAGGTTTGCATTTATTCACAACTCACCTCAGTGAGCAGCAATGTAAAAAATACACCTTACACCTTATATGCCTTTTCAACATGATTACATAATAGACAAAGGCTACTGTAAGTTTCCACTGCATTCTCAGTTCCTCTGTTCTTCTTGGTCAGTAGAAAGTTCTCAGTTTTCCTCTACTGGTATGTTCCGTCTCAATCCTGTCGCAGTTCTGCTTCATCTGGTCCATTTCAAATGTCATTGTCTTCATCGTCTGGTGGCACAAAAGCTTGGTGTTCTTTGTTAACTTATTCTAAATTCTAACCCTTGACCTTAGTTGCAAGACATCCTTACCTCACCTCTAAGTCTAAAACTCCTACAATACCTATTGCTTAACGTTAATTTCTATTTGCTAACTTTCTTCTACTGTTTCAGCTCGGCTGGTGGTTAACCCAGCCGTGGAGGGAGCTGTACAGGGGACAATTGAGCAGTTTATCATGGACTGAAGGCATAATCATATATGCCCATTCTTTAACAATGCCTACCCCAATCTAGTCTTAACCCTATAGTTACAGCAAGCTCTATGGAATTTTCCTTAACAAATGGTACTTTCTTAGCCCAAACTGAAAGGTCTATAGATGAGAGACCTTGAGATTTGATTCTGAATTATAGTGGGTCTATAAAAACATTGTTAAAGTAAATATGATAAAGTTTGGTTGTTCTAGTAAATGTGATAATTCTATGAGAAATCTGTGGGTGAAATTTTCATTGGAATAATGGAGTTTTAGATCTGCACTTAATGGGTTGCTTCTTGACACTATCCCTTTATGGTTCATTTAGTGACGGGGATTTTCTTGTACATGTCCCAAAGAAACTGAATTGATGGACACAGCCTTGTGAATGATTGTCTGTGGGATTGATTTTTCTGTTTGTCCCTTTTGGTCTCAGTATTGCATCAGCACTGTAGTGAGATTGTATCATATTTGTCTCCCAGGAGTCATTACCTTTTCTGGAGAGGATTATAAATTACTGGGAGTGGATTTATCAGAGCTGTCTGAGCTGGAGAGAGCCCTGGGGGAAGCAGGACTGGACAATGAAATCCCCACCCTCTTCATAGCAGAGGTGGTGCTCACCTACATGGAAAATAGAAGGTCAGCTGAGTTATCCTCTGTTAGTTAAACAGTAAAATGAAAAGAACGAGTGTCTTTGTATGTATGTCACTTGGGGCTGGGAGACTTGCTATCTTGTAAGTAAAGCCTCAGGAATTCTGTGGAAGTCCCAAACAGCTCCTTACATCATAATTGTGATGGAGTAATTGATGTCCATGTGACATCCTAAAAGGGAAGGAAAAAAAGAAGCAGCAGCAGAATCTTGAAGGGGTGATTTTGACTTTTTTGTTCTTATCCCCTGAAATCTCTGCACATCGAGGGGAGGAGATGTTCTTAAGTCCCCACCACAGAATTCTCTTTTGTGTATAACCTCTGTCAGGATTCCTTAGTAGAATCATAGAATGCTTTGGGTTGGAAGGGATTCATGCTGTAACGATTCCTGCCTTCAGGATGTTCAGGGCTCAGCTGCTTTTCACTGTCAGTGGGGGAAGAGCCCCCAGGCCTGGCGGACTCTGACCCACTCATCACTACATTCTGCTGATGCATCCAAGATGACATAAGAGCTCAGCTAAATCAAAGTCTAGCGGGTGGGCTCCCTTTGGCTTGCAACAACAAAAATGAAAGAAACCCATCCACAAAACAGTTTTGTGGAAAGATCTACTGAGGCGGGGGGAAACACACAGGACCTTTTTACCCTTGCGCCCTATCTTTTGTTTTTCATAGAATCATAGAATGTTTTGTGATAGAAGGGACCCCTAGAGGTCACCCAGCCCCACCCCCTTGCAGGGAGCAGGAACACCTTTAACCAGATCAGGTTGCTCACAGCCCCGTCCAACCTGGCCTTGAATGTTTCCAGGGATGGGGCCTCCACCACCTCTCTGGGCAACCTGTTTCAGTGTTTCACCACCCTCACTGTAAAGAATTTCTTCCTTAGATCCAGTCTAAACCTACCCTGGTTTAGTTTAAAACCATTACCCCTTGTCCTGTCACAGCTGGCCCTGCTAAAAAGATTTTCCCCACCTTTCCTATGGGCCCCCTTTAGGTACTGAAAGGCTGTAATTAGGTCTCCCTGCAGCCTTCTTTTCTCCAGGCTGAACA